TATCCTACACTACGGACGCCCTAGTGTATGCACAGTCCTTGTGATGCCAGAAATGCTTACCCCTCTTTCCAGCGCAAGGCATACATAAGCGGGGGGTAAATTTACCCCCCAGATTTGCAATAACCATACACCGGCTATTTCCTCAAGACACTCTATTCCATATACCTTTTACCCGTGCTTCTCCTACACTACGGACGCCCTAGTGTATGTACAGTCCGTATGATGTCAGAAATGCTTACCCCTCTTTCCGACTCAAGGCATACAAAAGCGGAGGGTAAATTTACCCCCCAGATTTGCCGATCACGCATCTTCGTGCCTGCCAACGAGTGCACCCGGGTTGTTCCAATGTACCCTTCCCAGTCAGCGATGTCACATTTACATTCTTTAGCGCAAAGTATGTACATAGCAACCTTCCTCCCAAAACATGTCATCCCTACATGCTTTGCCGACTATGTAACTAGTACATCCGGTGCGATTCGGCTAGCTTTCGACCTCTCCCCCTGGCCTCAAGTTGAGGACTTTCCTGTGAAGAGCATGGCGGCAGACTCAAACATCGTCAACCTTCTTGACTCAAAGAGGGCTGAACTCTTGACTATACCCTGGAAGTCGAAGACCTTTTTCATGGCTGATCTGGTTTTGTAACATCATGTAAAATCCTATAGTAAGTAACCTTTAAATCCAATGGTGCTTCGACTTCTAGGATATATAGCAGACGTGCGCTTCGGAGGGACGGACGTTGTTCGCGACCCGAGCGGCTAAGCACTGGACCGTGACCAGACCCCCGTGGGTACCATAAGGGAGGTTCCTGGGATCAGGATCTTTAGGTCCCGTGCCCGTGGCGTGCCCGTATGCGTTCCTGCGTTCCGTGCAGCGTGCGGTGCCCGTGCGAACTCTTTATGCTTTTGTACCTGCCCAGGCCTTCTCAATCATCACTGAAAGCATGTGCAAATTGCTGGATCGGAAGTGCCGAATCTCATAAGTTAAGGAGCCACTCCCCCAAAATAATGTCGCCCCTCGTCTTAGGAGGGACTTGGAAGACGATGGTCCATGCTTTTCTCAGTGTGGGGGCTAAGAGCTCTTTCCTTTTGCCTGGCACATGTCCTATCCCAAACACACGCCCGCCGGCTTCGCCCCGGCTGCGCACCTCGGACCGTCCCCGGACAGGAGAGTTTGCCCCATTGGTGCGGTCACTGCCTTGGGGCTCATGTAGCTGAACTCGCATTGGCGGGGCCAGGAGCATTCGACAGGGGAGATGGCACGATCGTTTGGGTCGTCTCAATTGATTTCGATGGGTTTCGCCGACTGCAAAAGGGTTCTCCAATCATTTGTATGCCTTTCATTGGTAAAAAGTTTGGCTCGTCACGTTGATGTGATAGCTTTGCTTGATATTGCTTGATCACGGTTGAGTAGTTTGGGGGGTTTGTTGTGCTGAACTCATTGGACATGTTGTTCGGCCAGTGGTTCACTGGCGCTCGTCAGTGTTATACTTACACCTCCATCCAAACCACTACGAACCCAGACATACATACCTCTAATTGTCTAGATATGTATGTTTCCTCCTGGGGTTCTTACTCATCCAAACAAAGAAAGCCACTGTTTGCAGGCAAGTATCATTGCAAATCTGTCTCCGACAGCCCTGGCTATTACTACTTTGATCTACTTTGGGTGCCAACCTGAAACCATGACTCAAACAAGCATGCCGGTGATTTGCCCATGTGCTTCATTCCCAGGCAACTCTCAGTCTCAATGTCTGCGGCATCTCGCGTGGCCTCCTTCATCAACATGCAGAGCACTTGCGCTCACATGGATCCTTACGTTCTCATTCTCAGGCTTTGCTGGGACAATCGGTGTAGATATCCTATATAGATGAATTGGTGCAGGCTCCGGGTCCCGGGGTTGGGATTTCAAGAAGTTCAGCTCTTCACATCGAGCTGGCCAGCCCGGCACCGGCATGTTCTGTTCCAACCTGCCCAGGCTGCCACCATGGTCAGAGCTCATCAACACTGGCTGGCCGGTCTTCGGCATGATGTACCGCATCGCGCAACAGTTGAGGCCTGGCCGTTCGAATTCCTGGCTCAATTCGGTCTGGGCAGAATTTGGTACAGTCTTCTGAGGTTTGTATGTAGTTTTGAGGAACATTGTCATGTATGTTTGAACCTCTTGTCCCTGCCAAACAGGTTCATCTCCGGGCATCATCAAGTAATCATCCCTGTGATGTGGCTTCCATGTTCGAAACTGTGTAGCCTTGACCTACCCCCTCAATCTTTGTTAGCTGCTTGATCAACGGCGCTGGTTTACCCTTTGTGAATGCACTGGCACATCACAACTTCCTCATTAGTTGGAGCTGCTGGATCCAACGAAAGGTTCTAATACAGTCACTACTGGTACCACGTTGATGGCAATTCCTTCGCCCGTTGTGACGGTCGTTTCTCCAGCTATGGTTGGCTTGACGCGAGAGCCAACCCCGCCTCCTTGTTTGTCTTGTTTCATTCCCTTGTGTCCTGCAGCCTTTAAACAAACTCAGATTAAAGAAGGAACTAGGACCACAGCAAGTGAACCCATTGTCTCGCTTCCTTCTTAGCTATGTTCGGGAAGAGTTTGTGTGGCTTCCCCGTTCTGTCATGCTGTGTTTTCTTTTACTTTCTTTGCGCATCTTGCACCACATCACCGAATGAAGGCCTCACACTGAAATGACATCGCAAATCCAGGGGTTGAACAAGAAACGGACAAAAGGAGGACCACCAGACTCACCACTCTGCCGAGCACTACTTGCTCCCACACTTATTATATAACCATGCTTTTGTGGTTTCTCGCTGCTTCTGTCCTTTCCCCGGCTGTATTGATAGGTTTCTAGAGTAGGAGAGCAACAAGCAACAGGTGTTCCTTGTTTGGTTGGCTGGTTCTCAGGCGTCCGGACTACCACGTGGAATGGTGGAGTCTGCATGGAATGAGGACTTAGCAGGAGCAGGAATTCTTGCCGAGAACCTGCAAACCAGAACTCGAACCTTGAGACACTTCTTCCGTCTCGAAAAGATAAGTGTGAAAGGGGGCCGCCTCACACTTGCTCTTTCCTCATGTCGTGCGAGAACAGAAACAAAGGCGCAGCCAAAATAAGTGTTTTGGCAACTATCTCCACCACGGATCTACACCCAGCCCAGTGCCCAATGCCTTTCCTTCAACAAGCTTCAGCAGCTGTTCTCTTGAAGTGGGTGACTTCACGAATTCCAGGGCTGATGGGCTCTTGGAAGAGAACTTGGATGACATCTTTGCGACCCAGCTCTCTCATGGCGCCCAGGAGCGGTTCCCGATGAACAGATAAATCGATGGTGGCCGGTGATGCATGGGGGGTCGAGTGCAGGGGGTCGGGGAGTCTCATTGGGCCCTGAATCAGATGTGGCAAAAAGCAGCCAAAATGCCAAGAGCTTCCAGCGCTTGCGAAGCTAAGAAGCCTTGAACATGCTTGACAACTTGATTCATTCACTGTTCCCTTCCATGGAAGCACTGAAGCCTTTTCGTTGGAATCAGGCGCCCTCCTGGAGACGTGGAGCCAAGACCTTTTGCCAGCTGCTGGGCTACGGCCATGGCCCCGAGGAATCTGCTTGTCCTTTAGCGCAGGCAGCGGCGCTGCTGGGCCAGGCTGGGACACGAGCAAAACCGCGAGGCGTGCACATGCGGAACATCGAAACGTAAATATTGGGTTTGTCCCATGGGTTTTGTTCCAGAAAATGCCGGACAGAGAGATCCCTGTAATTGGTAAACAAGGATCACGATCTTTAGTGAAAGTCCTTTATAGTAACCATCATCGACTGTTACAGAGAATTGGATATACTGATATACCCAACATATATATATATAGACACAGTATATATATATACAGGGAGAGAGAGAGAGAGTGTTGATGCTCAAGGATACTTGGGTTTGGAAACCGCGTTGGGTTGCAGGCGCCGTCCAAGTGGTTGGTCATCCAAGCAGTTGTGGCCGTGTGCTTTGTCTCATTGAAACATACAGAGGTATTGATCAACACCTGTGTTTTGCCAACTATGGAGACCCGGATTACCTTACCAATCTCAACACGCAAGGTTTCATGATGTTTCATGTGGGAATCTCACAAGCGAGTCTACCTTTGGAAGCATATTGCGGTGCCTGTAAATTCAATACCTGCCGCACGGCCAGCAGGGTCTTTGGTCAGTATCAGCAGTGTAGTTCTTCAAACATAAAGGATGTTGAGTGTTTGCGAGCATTCATTTGGGCATGGTTGCCAGATCTTTGAGATTTGCACTGAACAAGACTCGATAAGGGTCTCAACATGATTGTTTGTGCAAAAGTGCTAGGAATTGTCAGGAACATCTGCAGAATCTAAAGTCTAAAAAAGACTGTTCCTTTGGATCAGTTCCCCAGCATTGTTTTCCAGATTTGACCCTCCCCTACCTCGCCTGGCCTAACCTCCAGGCGGTCCAATTCCCTTGTTTTGCCCCAGGCGGTGCAAGGGCCTGATGCGGCGGAAGCCGTGTTGCGAAGGGCGCAGCACTTGGCCCCTCGCGACGATCAGAGAGAGGGTGATGCGCGAGACCGCGCATGAGGCGGTCGCCCAGATCCAAATGGGATACAACGAAGAATCCATTCAAAACCGGCCCATATATGGAGATGTAAAGGGACTTTGTTAAGGGGTTCTTCCTCAACAGTTTGATAGAGAATGAATGATAAAGACAAGTGACAAGTGCGATTTCTTGGGTCATTTTGGTACAACAACACGACTCCCTTGGCGAACGGAAACAAAAAACGGTTCCAACACCGGTGCGACTGCCTCCCAGGTTTACGGCCTACTGCCACGTGTGCCGGGCGTGAGCGAGTGCCTGGGTGTGTTGAAGATGTACCTGACTTACCTGACTCTTCGAGTTTCTTTCAGTTTCAACCACTTTTTGTATTCTTTTGTGTTTTTTTTGGGGTTGTTGTGTTTTTTTCATTGTTCTTTTGCCACCACTTTTGTTGGCCATCGATGGTGGTTAGTGGGGGCTAGAGTTTTGATCGGATGTTTTTTGTTTTGAGGGTTAGGGCAGCAAGGATGTGCAAGGCGCAAGACGGGCGCATTGAATCATAAAGGCTTAATCTTCGGGGCGATCCCAGAGCCACTTCAATGGGGAAGATATATAAATATGATGTGCTACACTGGATCCCATGTCTCGATGCTGATTGGGAGTCTGATTGGGCTGGTGGCTGTATGGGCAGACTGAGGTGCATGCAGGCCCAGAACCTGCATTTGGGCTTGATGTTGTCCTCCCATGGGCGGATGCTTTTGGAGGGACTTTATCGTTTGCAACTTCACCTGGAAAGCTGGTTTCAGAGTCCTCCAGGCGAAAACCCGCAGGGTGGGCAGGGGCGGAAGCTTTGGTTGCTTGGTCCGAACGATGTGGGAAAAGGTGTGCAATGCATGCATGCTTGGAGTACATCTTTAGATGAAGCAGTTCGGGCCCGTTTGGAGCTGCAAGGTTGGTTCATCCATGGTCATCCCTTAACTTCAATCTCTCTATATATATATATATAGTTACAAGTTTTTGCAAGTTCCTTTAAAGATGAACACGCGTTGCAGGTTGTAGTGGCACACACTATCAACTGACACAGTATCGCTTGCGAAGACACCTGCGCTGTACTCTCCATAGTTTGCCGGCTGTTTGTCCATAAGTTTCTTTGGATCGTGGTTTCTGTGGGATTCCTCTTTTTTGGAGCTTTTCAGGCCTCCAGTAAATTGCAGCTTCCAGTTGCCAGGGGACGCTGGTCCACAGAAGATTTGCCCAGTCGGTGGCGCTCAGTGGCAGGGAGAGTGGTTGCTGGAAACAGACTTGCTCAAGGACTTTCAGGCTAGCGATCTTCATCACAAAAGTAGGTACACTTTCAGGTCCGGATTCCATTTGACAGATGTTTATTCATAGTTATATATTCATACGTACGTACCGTCGTTTTTCCATGTCATTCTGCTAAGTTGGAACCCTTGCTTGCTCCATCTTACTCCCCCAAAAGAGGGCGCCGACAGGCAGGGATCGGAGTCCCATCCAGGCGGAGCTCGAAAAATCCACGGTGCAGTGGGCGCAGCCGGTGCCGGCGACAGCAACGCCCCCTCGGGCGCGAGAGGCATCGACCATTTGAGCAGACATGATGGGGTCGAGTGAAAGCAAGGAGAAATCCTTCAAGCACCTTCTAACCTAAATGCCTAAATGTCAAACCATGCTTTTGTCACACCTGTTGAACTGTTGAACTTGTTGAATCTGGATCTCACGCTGTTAGGGCAAGCATCAAGAAGCACAGAGTACACTAGTTTACGAGCCATTTGGAAGCAAGAGACTATGAGAGTAGTTAGGTTCTGGGGTCAAACAGTTTTGGATAGTTTAGGTGTTCACTGTTGTTTTTTTCATCCGTTGTTTTTTGCGCCCCACAGCTTTGCCGGTGCTTGTCAGGCCTGGGTTTGCACTTTGTTCGCTGGTCCAGAGCTCCCCTGGCGGCAGATGGCTTTGCATGTGGAGCTCATCAGGCTTGAGGGTCCCGCGCAAACATGCAGCAAATTGTGTCATTTTTACTGGAACTGGGTGGAGGTGGGTTTCCACATGTTCTCACCTGAAAAACCTCCTCTACAATTGACTATGTGAGAACATGCACCTCGTCACTCGCTGTATGCACTGTATCTATGGGCTGGTTTGGTGTCCGCTCCCAGCTTTGCAAGTACACTGCAATTACTGACCATGGACCTGGCCAGATAACATATATCAATGATTATACTTTTTCAGATATATTACTATATATTCATTGAGTTGGTGTATATATATATAATGTCAATATGTTTGTATATTGCACAGTTCAACCAAAGCGTGCACGTTTTGTTTGAAACGTTTTTTTGGGTTTTGTGAGCCTCCGAATTGAAAGAGAACCGATTGATTCCAGCTGTTTGAGCTGTTCTGAAAGCCATCCCATACACCTGCGATCCATACACCTGCGATTCACCTATTTGAGCTGTTCCATCCGATCCATACATTGAGGATTTTCTTTCCTATTACCATCCCATACACCTGTGGCAGGACTTTGGCCTATTCCATTCATCGGGTGTCCTTACAGCCACGCCCATTCGTGGTTTTGACAGAGGTGCGGATCCGCTTGTTTGGCCGGTCCAAAATTCTGTCCCAGCCGTAACTGGCTTGATGTGGTTCCAAAACGTTAGATGGTCCTTCTTGAGCATGACTGACTTGTTGTTTGTTTGCTTGCAGTTGGATCATCCAAAACCGTCCCAGCTTGGAGGCGAGCCTTCCGATGGACCTCCAGGAAGAGCTGCTGGCAGAGGGCTTCCGCCTGGAATTCTTTCATGCGCCCACCCTGGCGATGAAGGTCCGTTACTGTGCCTGTTCACGAAACCCTCTGGGGTTGGTTCGGAGACCCTGCGTTCGTCCCTCACGGGGGTTCGGACAGAACGCGCCAGTGAAACCGCGACCCGGAAGGTTCCTTCGGGCTACGAATGGAAGCTCGGATGGTTTCAAGGCACCGATGGCGGCGGCGCCGGCGGGGGCACGCTTCCGAAGACGGACAGGTTCTATGGGAGTTCTAGAGGCTACTTGTAGGGGGGGCTGTGGTCATGGTGTTTGGCATTTGAGGTGTTTCATGATGTTTTTTCCTCATGTGTTCATCATTTCCCTAGCGTGAAACTAAGAGGTCGGAAGCTCACTCCTACAATGGGCCAGCTGGCAGTGTGGAATTTGACCTCCTACGACACATTGGTGATGCTCGACGACGTTCCCTGGCACAATTGGAGGGCCAAGCACAACGTTCTCCTAGCAAGCTTCTAATGATATGCAAGAACATATCATCTTGGATATGTTGGTTTGATGCTTCAAAGGGGCTCGCAGAGAAAGAAGGGACATGCAGATTCCGAACCGTGAGGATGTTAGATCCCTCAAGCTCATACCCTGGCTGCAGATACCCTCACATTCAAACAGTATTGTTAGTTCTTGACGGATCTTGATGATCAACATATCAAAATCAAATAAAATCAACATATAAAGTAGAACATACTGGTATACATCCAAGAGCTGAACCCAATGTCCGTAGTCGTTTTCGCATGTTTTCGCATCCCAGAGCAGGACATGCTGATGATCCAGGCTTCAGACGAGCTCTTCAGCATCCCAGTCTTCGCAATGTCCCACGACCCCATGCCACTGTGGTCCGAAGCGATGGGCCAATCCAAACAGTCGCGTCTCAACAACGCCGCACGCGTGGTGCATCCCAACAAGCGCCTCTTTCGGCGGATGGTGAAGCAGTTGCAGTCTGGTGGCTATCGCAACCATCCGTTGATCCTTGACTGTAAAGTCCGCTGGTTTTGTAGGATGTCACAGGAACCCCCAAACTGTTGATCCTTTCGAGGGAGATAATTCAATCACTTTTTTAGAGGCTAAAGGATGACACTTCCGTCCTCCACCAATCCATCATCCAATCCAATCATCTCAGGATCAACTTCTGGGGATATGACCTGCAAAGCCTGGAAGACACCTTTTGGGGTCTGGAGAGTTCCCGCCTGGGCATTGCCCGCTTCGCGCACTCGGGCCACTTCCGGGGCTGCGACCCACGCCTGCCCGGCATCGCCTCGCGTCGCGCGTCGCCCTGGTCGCAGGGGAGAAGAGGTGGTGGGTTGGGGGTGGGTGCGGGTATTCGAACAACAAGGGAGACCAAGACTAAGAACCCCTTGGAAGAAGGAAAACGACTCAGACTATCTAAGACTAAAACCATTCTAAAAGTCACAGGGTCGAAACGTGCTTGCAACAACATGTGGAGACATGTGGCGTGTCCAATGACTTTGCCCTTCAGAGTTGACTTTCTCAGGCTCGAAAGTAGCGATTGCCGCTGGCAAAGAAAACCTTAACACTGGTTAGTACACCCGCTATAAAACATCCCCGTTGAAATCTCCCTTACAGAATGGGGGAGGTTGAGGCCGCTAAAAAGTAGTCATTTTGTAGTGCCATGATGGTTTAGTCCTTCATGTCACCAGAGCTTTGGGTATGGATTGCCATTTTGTAGAGCATGTCATAATTTTCAGATATCGGACGGATTCACATTTTGTAGAAACACACTCACTTGCTTGATTTACACCATTTTGTAGACAGTTGTGTGTGCAGCTCAGCTTTTTCCAAAGGCCTGTTGGCAAATATGCCACCACCACCAGGTTACCCCAAAGTTTGCGGGGTCGCAGGCTGCTGTGATAAAGTGCCAGTTCCAGCATGGAGCGATGAGCGGCAGTGCTGGTTGTCCAGATGTAATTTCAAGCAGCGGACAAGAAAAAGTTATCATCATGTCTACTTCTGCATGCGTCTAGCCTGCAATAAGCAATGCCAAATCTCAAAAGATGGGAATGACATGACATCAGCAAAAATGCACACCCTCCTAAGAGGAGAAAGCTGACTCTACAAAATGGCTGAACCAGCATGAGGCTCCTACAAAAAAAGATATGTTCAACCGTGCTCGTGTCATACCAATACTACTTCACTGAAGAGTCTCCGATTTAAACTCTTCCAACAGCTTGTGCTTTCCGAGCCCTGGCCCAATCAATGCATCCATTGGAACAAATCTTGGATTGCACATGCGCCCCCATGCCGGCTGGACTCATGGTCCTTCTTTGCTTTCTTTTCCTTTTTGTGTTCGGAGGCATTTGGAGCTTCCTCAATGCAAAGATGGCTCTACAAAATGGCTGAGACAGCAAGTTGCTTCTACAAAAAGCAATGCCATTGCCATTGCACCTAAAAAGCTATTTCACTAAACCGCGTCTGACGCAAAAGCTTTCAACACCTTTTTCTTTCTGAGCCCTTGCCCGATCAGGTCATGCATTCATTGGACAAAGCTTGGCTTGACCACCCCCATGTTCCTTTTTTGCTTTCTTTTCCTTCTTCTGCTCCGAGTCATGCCCACCTTCCTAAGAGGAAAACTTGCCCTACAACATGGCTTGGGCAGCAACTTGCCCCTTACTTTTTGTGGGAAAAACGCTACCTGTGTGAGTGTGTCAGATCATTTTGTAGAGGCGTTTTTTTTGTATTGTTGTGAGTTGTTTGCCAGGTCAGTGTCATTTTGTAAGAGTTTTTTTGTTTCGTTTTATGTTTGTTTGCGGCTTGTCTACCTTTCCCGGACATGAGCTTGGGGTGCCATTCTGTAGAGAAATTGTTCTTGGACTTTCATTTTGTATAGGGTCGTTTTGCCCGGAATTACCATTTAGTAGAGGTTCTCTACAAAAAACCTGAAATTTTAAACTTAAAACTGTTCGTTTCTGTTTGCATGGATTTGTATGGATTTGTTCGAAGTAAAACGATACCCAAGTGGACATATGAAGACGTCTAAACTTGCGGGATACCATGCACCGGAAACTGCGCCAGAGGCAGCTGGGCCTTTTGACTGGTGACTGGCCGGAAGAGAACAAAACTGCTCCTGTGGATCCTGTGTTTGCACATCCGATGCATTGTGTGTTGCTCGGCCACCGCAGTTGTTTCATCCAATGTTCGTCATCCATTTGCCCAAACTTCAGGATCTGAAAACAATAGGATGTCAATGCCAAGTCTTCGAAATTGAGCTGTTGAAGGTTCTGATTATGCTACGCTGCTACTAGGTCCTGTTTGTTCCTTCCCCACTATGCTCGCTTCGGATATGTGTGGCTGCATCCTAGGCTGCCAGCCGACTACAACTTTTTCGTTGACTTCAAGAGTCTTGGAGCTTTCATCGTCGTTTTCTTTTGGGCTGCTAGACTCTCAGGAAGGTCTACCCAAATGAAGCTTGATAAACAAAATGCAAAAAGCAGGTGATCCAACATCTAAGGAGTCTTTTCTCCATGATCTACTTCGGGGTTCATGACCCGAAGCAGTTCAGCACCCGGTCTCTCATCAAGCGCACGACCGACTTCCTGTACAGGAGACCAAGCGCTGTGGCATTCGTGTCACATGCTGAGGTTTCAACAGGGGCTCGTGCTGGTGTGCAAGAAGTAGCTCCTCACACGCACGCATGCACACACCCGTGAAAAGAGTTATATATATATATATCCAGAAAATGGTATGTTGCGGCTGTCGCCCAACCTAGGTGTTGACGGGAAATGGCAGGAAGCCTCAGCTATGCATGCAGTGTTTACCTGAAACACCAGCACATTACTGCAAGCCATAAACGGCCTGATTGGCTTTAGAGCGGGTGGAGTATGGCAGCCCAACGTCGTTAAACTGCAGGTACACCTAGCTTATCGGACCCGGCTTCCACTATCACGCATAGCTTCCTTGGTAAAAAGGGTTTTGAAACCAGGGTGGTCACAGAGAGAGAGGGAGCGAGGGAGGGAGGGAGAGAGGGAGAGAGAGAGAGAGAGTGACACACACACACACACACGCGGGCATTTGCACCTCAGAGTAGGCAAACATATGCCAAGTTGCAGCAAAATGTTGCATCCCGGTATACGTCCGCCTGGCTGGCGTTGTTTCACCACTCCCAGAGGCCTCACCTTGCAGTTTGCATCGCTGTTGCCTCGGGACAGTGGCCTTGAGCACGGCAAAGGCTCCATTGTTCATGGTTGGGGTATGTTGGGGTATCATTTCGAGTTGTTCTATATACACATTTGATGTCCACAGTAATTTCATAGGCTCACTAGTTCACGAAGGCATGGCTCAGCACTATGCAAGTCTTGTTGATGTGTGAGGGAAACGCACGCGCAATAACATATATATATATATATTCCACTACTGAAACAAAACACATTGTTTCTTAGATTCTTTACCCCGGTTGTGGGCAGGTCCAAAACTTGTTGTACCACTTTGGACGTTCCGACTTCATTGGAACCAAGCCAGCAACCCCCTTATCAGAAGCTCCAGACCTTTCTTCGCAGCCTCCAGGAGCGGTTCCTTGGTGGGAGGCCCCAAGATCCTGCATTGGCCTGGATCTCTGCGCAAACCCTGGGCCCTTTGGACGAGCTCGGGGCTGGACTCCGCATTCCTCCAGTTGGACGAGCAGGTTTAGGGATCCACCAGATCAAATATGAATTTGCAAACCGTTTACTGTACCAAGGTTTTCACCTTACACAGTTGCTGGTTTCTTGATTTACAAAGAAAATATGAATCAAGAAGGTTCCTAAAACATAATTCATAATCTTATAGAAGGTTTAGGGAAGAACACTTTGTACCAGGTGGTGCTTGTGAGTTTCTGGATGAATTGCGCCTCTACCGTAGATACCCCTGAACCCTCTACAAGCATATAGCTGCAGAATGGATCGACCCGCACCTGGTGAACCTATCATCATGTGATGTAATGCCACATTTCTAATACTGTATATACTAATTGTTCCGACTCCTTTTTGTTGGAGAGTGTTTTCGTCATTAGGGGTCCCTTGGGCAGCGGCTATGACTTTGCCTAGTGGTCTAGTGGTCCACTTCAACCACACCAAGCTATTTCGCTGTCGCCGGCGATGTCCAGTCCCAAAGACTTGTAGACATGTTTCGCATCCCAGGAGCGCATTCATCCCCGGGTGCGGAGCGGCTGGGACCATCTCTGGTGGGACGCCCATGAGCGCATGTGCCTCCAGAGCCGTGTGGGTTGCCGCATCGCTTGCACATCGCCGGAGAAACAAAGTTGGCGAGATCGAGAGCGGGCACGGGACGCGAGATCGCAAGCGGGAGTTCCTTTTGTTTCAGGATTTTGAGTTCCTTGGAACCCCATTCCTCCTACAAGCAAGTGGTGCCCGCAAGAAGGTTTGCATGGCACGGCCTATCAGGGGGATAATTCTTCCACATCAGGACTACCCAGATGGATTGCTTCAAAGTGTCAGTGGCCCTCAGTTGTTTGCCAGTTTGCCTTTTGATTTATATAACACCATTGACATTTCACATCATATCACTAAGCTCACAAATCCATGATTTGAGACGATAATCCCTTCCACCTATTTAAAAACACGAGGCTCCCCCCTAATAAGGAAACCTCGGTCGCATTTTTTCTAATAGGGGGTCCCTGAAATCGGGTGGTCCAAAATAGGGTCACCTGGAAAGAGTTTCAAAACAAAAAAAGTAATCCATGAACATGTTTATATAAAATCCTTGATTAAACTCGTATCAAAAATGCAAAAAAACTCCAGATCGAAGGGTCTTCCTTTTCCCCTACAAAAACCTTCCTTAGAATAGTGATTCTTCAGTAGACTAACAGCTAAAGCTTTCGAAAGGTGATGTCGCTGTGCCATGAGCGCGGCGTGTCATGGTGGATAGACAGGGCGGACAGAGGTGGGCAGTTACGGTTGTTTTTGGAACCTACTGTAATAAGAAGAACCCCTCCAAATCGGCCATGTTGGTAGTTTAGTAGCGGCTTGAAAGGGCGGTAATTTAAAAACAGATATACACCATATTTAGGGGGATCCGACATGACTTTTTTTAATTAGGGACCGTTTTTAAATAGGTACTCGGGATTATGCATCCGAACGCTTTAGAACGTCCGAGGTCAAGAGGATCTGCAGCATGTTCACGTGGGTATAGGATTTGCAAATTATCGTCAAATATCTATCAGAAACGATGGGACATGTTGAAGTGCAAATGGTTCCCGCAGTTCTAGGATAACCTCGCTGTTCACCGTTGCTTACGCGTCGCTGCCCCAAAGCCTCGCCCGGTTTCCATCTAGAAAGCCATGGGGGCCGCCCGTTGAACATGGAGAAGCGAAGCACGTTTGTGAAGGTGCATGGGGCTGGGGAAGGGTGGCTCAGTCAGAGGGCGAAAGAGGGTACCGTCTAACTCGCGCCACCGGCCTAGAGTTCCGTCAGATTTGTTCGCCACAGACACTGACATTGCCATGCTAAGACAAAAGTCGTGGGTTGGCCAAGGGGAGCGGGCTTACGTCAGGTTGGTTCATAATGTTCATGTAAATTTGAATGGACTGGTCCGGGTCCGGGATGATGGGAAACGTTCTTTATCATAACAAGTAGCGCAGTTTCTGCAAATTCATCTTGTGGCAGTTGGCAAGGTTTCATCAAATTGCTTCTACGTGGCAATATCATATGATCGTATGTTTAAAGCCTTGAGCTTGTGGATGTTCAGCCTCCTTGCAGCCCTAAACTATCAAGCCACGGACCTTGGGTTCCCCTCAAAGAGGGGATCTACCCTGGCGATTCGTGGCATTCCGTGGCCATGGAATTGGAAATGCCCATGCTGGTTCTGTTGCTTTTGTTGATCGTGCCTTTAATGATCGCTTGCACCTCCATGTGGTTCTACCGCAAGCAGCTGCGCCGCCTTCTACCAGACTTGACCAAGCCTAAAGCCACCAAGCGGGAGCACTACCTTTTCAAGGTGCAAACCGAGGAGCAGCTCCGGAAGTCTGCGGCGGAAGCGGACGCAGCCGAAGGCGGTGGCGTCAGCGGTGGTGCCGTGAGGAGTTTGACCATGAGGCCCGATGAAGTTCCTCAACAGGATCACATGGAGTCTTTGGTTTTGGACGGTGATCAGGTCTTGGAGATGCGACGTTCAGCCAGTAAAACCTCCATGGGTTCCAGCGTTCCCGGAGTGGTCAGAGTTGGCTCTCAGACCAGCAGTGGTGAGAATGAGATGACTGCGGAAGCTCGGACTTTGCCAAGAGCTGGTTCAAAGCAAAGTGTGGGAAGCAAAAGGAGGGGGAGAAGCACCAGTAAACAAAGCCGAGCTGGTAGCAAGGCCAGCAGCAGTCGGCCAGAACCTCAACATCCTCAACTGCAACGGTCCCTGAGCGAGTCTGAAGCTGAGATTTCACATGGACGCCGGACACTGGGAGAAGAATTGGCCTTCCGAGACCTGCTTGCAAATATGTTATGGTCACGGTTATTTGTTATATATATATATATGAATATATACACTCACTGAAGTTGAAGAAACACCTACATTGCAGCCATATGCAGCCTATAATGATTATACATATATTTAATTATATAGTAAGGCCAATCGTCCTTCAACTGGTTTCAATCAGCGTCAATGATGTTCTCAAGGATAGGTTGAAGCCACCAAGCAATACTTTTATTTGTTTCTGCACGCTTTTCAGCTTTGGCTGGGTAGCATTTGACGTTGGTACTAGTCAGGTCCATTTTCATACCAGCGGATTCACAATGCTCATTCAGGCAAAACTTGCTTGACACGAACGAACAAAGATTTTGCAGGAGTGCAGGTGTCCTGCCCACATTACCATATATAATATAATCACCGTGTTCAGGACCCTTCTTTGGAAAAAACCCGACGTTTGTTTGTAATTTGTTAGAGCCCCTTGTACAACTATGTACATATAGGTATATTGTGGATGTGCAATCGAACAACAGTTAATAACAATCATGGAGCCCCACCTGCATTTAGAGGAACAATGTCTTCCAAGTGTCAATTGTCCACTTCCGTATTTGTTGGAGAGAGATTGGCAGCCAAAATGCCAAATGTATTTAAAACCTATAGCAGCTATAGCAATAGTGAATGGATCTGTCATTTCTGGGGTTGACATCCACAGTGATATCTTGGGTTTGGAAATGGACATGCTAATGACATACAATCAACCAACGAACTATATGTGCGTATATCCTGTCTGACACGGGAGAACTATCCATAGGTGTTGGAATATTGACGACCCAGTAAAGAATAGAACATAAACATCCATGCCCATGGTTGACATGCAATAGAACCAATTATAATTAGATCTACCAATCTTCAGACCAGCAACCTCTCCAAGTACATGACCTCAAGTTTGCCGTCTTAGACCTCCCATGTAATCACTTAATAAATATATAAAACTTAAAACACTATTATATGGCTTCTAGCTGAACTTCCAGTAGATAAGAACCTGAAAGTGGTAACATCAAAGACCCATGTGTCCACGTTGGATTCATCAAGTTTCAGTCCGAAGGCAAGAAGTGGATTCACATGGAACCATCAAGAGCTGCATCCGGGAAGCTTGTAGTCTTAAAGTGGTTTCAGAGTGGATTTGTGACAATCCCCAGAAAATTGTTTATATGGATCCCCCATCTAAAATCATCTAAAAGACATGTTGGGGTCCGGGGTTTGTGCCATATTTATTCTGAAACCACTCTACATCTAAGTTACTCTCGCCGCCTTCATCGCCCAGGAGGTGATGACACCTGGGCCTCCACCCACTCTCAGCTCTTCGGTAGCAACCTGACGGTACCGGGCGCTGTGCCCGCTTCGTCCGTGGACCGGAAGAAGTCACCCAGGCGCCAGGGGTCCAAGGGTTCCAAGAGTTCCACCAACCGAGAGCTTTGAGGTTTGGAGAAGGTGGAAGAGGCTTGGGATGTCTATTGTGGCTCCGGATGTCAAAGTTGCACCCGCAACTAATAAAGCGATGATTAATGATACGATCATATACTGATATATCATGTTTGTTTGTCGCATGTCGTTGGAACTTGGGGTGTTCAGCTCATTTGTATCGAGAACTTGAAACACTGTGAGCCAGTCCTTCGAGGGACACGCTTTGGTCTCTAAGTGGATCTTGAGCTGGGTCGTCAGACCGAGAGTGTCTCACGTTGGCCAAGCGAAGAGCTGAAGAGCCAGCAGACACAGCTTCTAGATGGAGGACACGCTACTTGTTCAATGTCAAATAGTCAAGGGGGAGGAAACACGATGAAATTAAACTAGCTTCTTTAAACAAAAAAATACTCCAAATCCTGGAATGATTTATTGGGTTTAGCTTTTTTTTTATAATTTTTCCTCACAGTTGCGCTTTCTATTGCTTATAGCTATTGATTTCCTTCTATGCCATTGCTTAACCTTTTCTGAGGCTTTGCTTGATTCCTGGAACTCTGACCTGAAAACCTTGCAACATTTAGTACATAAGCCGAGGGGAATTGAATTATATGTGCGGATCTTGAAACAGGACGCACAAAACGAGAAGTGTACAACTAGGTACACAAGACCACAGGCCGAAACGCCTGCGTGTTTGGCTCAAGAAAACAAAGACCGCTTTCTGTGAAGCATGGGTTATGAGCCCAAAGCGGTCGCGCCATGACATCTTTGATGGCGAGGAGAAGATCTTCTTCAAAGGAACGTCAGCAAACGGCTGACGAGCGGCTGGATGAGCTGCTGGCGCAGCAGACTCCCGCACGTCGCACCCAAAGTGCGGAGCCGAGTGCAAGGCGACCGGCCTTGGTGAAGAGCACGAGACAGACGGTGACGGACAAGACCCCAGCTGGAGCGAATACGGAGCCCAGGGCGGCGATCATGGATGGTGGTCAACCACGACAGGAACCCCCTCCAGGAACACTGCTGGCTGGACTACTCCCTCCTCTACCTGGCGGAGCTCTTCTTGGTGGTGGACAATCTGGACTGGTGGATGCAGCTCAAGCCTTGACGCGAGAGCAGATTCCTGGATGGCCAATGCTCCAGGGACCGTATCCCCAGGGATATCCGGTGGTCTTCCATCCAGGGGGACGAGCAGATGGGCTTCAGCTTCAAGGCTGGAACTATCTCCGGGAGATCGAGAACGCCAACGAGAGGAACATCAGCCTGGACATGCTCTTCGACCCGGTCGTGCACATGAACCCGCTGGTGAACTACCTGGACGTGAACTGGGGGTGGCTGGTGCCATGTCGAGGCAACAATCGCCTATCAATCCTTGGTCTGCTGAGAAGATTAAGCAGACGATGAATCTCCCGCAGAGCCAAAGCCAAGAGGCGGGAGAAACCGTTGAACTTCTTCGCCAACGAGTTCTTCGTGATGCCGAACAGCGTTTTGCTGATGGTGTTCGACAGCTGCTGGGAGGAGGCAATCCGCCTTCCGATGCTTCGTTCAAGACGGCTGCGGAGAATGGGGGCGCAACACAAGGGGATGGGAAGCAACAGGTGCCGGAAACCGGGGGACCACGGCAGCCTTCGGGGACTGGAACACAGGTGGCTTCATCCTCAACTATGACGACAAGTGGTGGTGTTCCTGTTCCTGGAGGCAATCTTCCTGGACCTGGACCCGTTCAAGGAACCGGACCTGGAGTATGTTTCCCTTGGCCATATCCCCCTGGAATTCAGCTTGGACCAGGTGGATGGGGTGCTATCGGGCTACCGCCCAATGGTGGTGGAGGTGGCGGAAACTATGGACCTGGCCTGGTTGGTGGTGCTCCTATGGGTGGGGGCAGTGAGGAATCGGTCAATGAGACCTTTCGCAGTGTGGATCTACCTCCACTTCCTTCGGACGCCAATGCACTGTCCTTCGGTGATTGGTTAGCCACGATCCAGCCTTTGATCGCGGACGTGAGTGTGTCGGCGGAGGAATGGTGGGCTGTGACCTTGAAGGGTGTTGATGAGCTGTATACCCAATGGTTGGCTTCGGATCCTCTTCAACGTCTTAGGTTGGACACTGGCACTTCATCGGCGGCTACAAGGTGGCCTAGGACCGAAAGGAGGATGACCAGTTTGTTGTTGCAGGCGGTCCCCGATAACATCAAGGCGGAGGCTGTGGCTGCGAGGAAGCTGAGCGTGACCCATTTGTTGTTCACGCTGTTCGTCAAGTTTCAACCTGGCGGACAAGGTGAGAGGGTCACTCTCATCCGGTTTTTGACGGAGCTCAAAACTACGGGCTCTATGGTTGAACTGGCGCAGAACCTGCGTCAATGGCGGAGATGGTGGAATCGGGCTCAAGAGTTGGCGGTGATGTTGCCAGACCCTGTCATCTTGGCGGGTGTTTTGACTCGGGCTTCGGACGCCATTGCCAAGTCTGGTGCGCAAGCTGCATACCAATGTCGGTGTGCAGGCAACAGTTGCAAATTGATACAAGACCCAACTTGGACTCCATCAAAACCTTCGCGGAGCTGCTGCAGGCTGAGACCGAAGAGCAGGCGTTGGGCGCTGGAGGAATTGGGGGAGCGGGAAAAACGACCGTTCCATTTGTGAAGGCAGCAGCTTTGGGGGCTTCATCAACGACGGCGACTTCGGCGACAGGAAATGCGCAGGAGTCCAAGGCCGCTGGGGTGGAGTTCAAGGGCGACTGTTGCTTTTGGTTGTCGGACAAGGGCTGTCGAAGAGGGGATCGATGCAAGTTCAAACATGGCACCCTCAGCCCAAAGGAAAATCGGTGCTTCTTCTGTTCCGGCCTCAACCACACTCGGCGTGATTGTCCGTATGTGAAGAAGGAGTTCGGGAAGGAGGAGAATGTGAAGGTGGCTAAGGTGCGGGGGGAGGATTCACAGCCTTCTTCGCCGGAAAGAGAGCCACTCAAGGTGAAGGTTGAAGAGGCCACTGGAGCTTCGGGGAAAAAGACTGAGGCGGAAGCCGGTTCCGGAGTTACAGGGGGTCCCATGCCGAACAAGTCGGACTCCATCGACACCTTGATGGGGGAGGCATCGGCTTTGTTGAAGTCATTGCGGAGCGCCAAGGTCAAGGCCATCAAGCTCAAGTTCATGGACGTGGGTGGCAACTTGGACGCGGGCACCGCATTGGGGCTTTTGGATGGTGGTGCAACACACCCCCTTCGTCAAGCTCTACCTGGTGAACTGGAAAAGGCTGAGAGGGTTCATGTGGAGTTGGCACATGGCTCAATCATGCTACACCAAGACCCGGTGACGGGTACGTTGTTGTCGGCCGACGCGGTGGAGCCCATCGTGCCGGTTCGAGGGTTGATTGAGCTGGGCTACAAGATGGTGTGGTCCAGGAGTGGTTGTGCTGTGGAGCACCCCCGCAAGGGGAAGATCGTTTCCCGCCTTCGTGAAGGTTGTCCCGTGGTGCTGGAGGAGGACGCTCTGCTGCTCATCCGGGAGATCGAGGAGGTGGAGAAGAAAAAACATGATGATGTCTACCGGGAGGAGAACTTGGAAGAGGAGCTGCTGACGTGGTGGAGCCAACGCTTCCCCGAGGTTCCTGCCAGGATCTTCCGGTACATGACGGAGGAGCATGATTTTGGTGGTGGTGCTCTTCCATGGAATCGACGGCAGCGACGACGGCTGCTGGCGGCTAAACGTGTGGTGCTTCATCTCTTCGCGGGGGAAAAGGCCGACGAGTGGGAGGAGCTCAAAAAGTATGACTGCGAGGTCATCACCTTGGACATCATGCACAACAAGTCGCAGGACCTGCACAACCCGGTGTTGTGGGCTTTCTTGATGCGTTTGGCCAGGCACGGGGGACCCCCATGCCGAACAGTGTCGAGGCTGCGATTCAGGCGACCAGGCCCAAGGCCACTTCGAGATCGAGGAGCACATCGCTTCGGGTTACCGAATCTCAGCGTTGCAGAGCAGCGTTTGGCGGACCACGACGCGGCCCTCGTCATCAAGCAGGTTGGACTCTATCTGGCTACGGAAGAAGCCAAGGTGGAGGTGGGTGCACCAAAAGGAACTACGGGTTTCCTGTTGGAGTCTCCAGCAGACCCGGCCAAGATGGTGGGGGATGGTGGACGAATGCCGTCTTTCTGGAGTTGGCCGGAAGTTTTGGGTTTGTTGGAGGAGGAGTCCATGGGGATGGTCACTCTAGATCAAGGTGCCGTAGGGCATTCCAAAAAGAAACCGACATCGCTGCTCACAAACATGCCGGGGATGATGGAACTACATGGACTTCGAGCACGAGGTGATGATGAACCCCTTCCTGATGACCTACAAGCCAGCATTCAGGCATCAAAGTCCTGGTCGTTGTGGGCTCCGGGATTGAGAGCTGCGATTAAGGAGTCCCTCCGATGCATGTTGGAGCAGGGTGCAGCACAACAACGAAAGATAGCCAAGCTATCACAGAAGGAAAAGGATATGTGGGCGACACACTTTCGCCAAGGACATCGACCCTTTCGCAGGGACTGCAGGCTGTGCATTGAGCAGGCAGGAACCCAAGGGCCGCATCGACGTCGAGGGGACACCCAAAGAATGTCATCGGCGTGGTCAGTGGCGGTGGACATCGTGGGCCCGCTATCTATGACAAGGGATGGTGCTTCAGGGCGGGTTGTTCGCTATGCTATGATCGCGGTGGCATTGGTCCCGGACTTCAACGCGGTGGCGGAGGATGATGTGGCGGAGAAGGACGTGGCGGAGAAGGACGTCGCGGCGAAGGATGGGGCGGAAGATCAACATGATGAAAAGGTTCCTACACCCAAGGAGGACCCTGCGCCGGAACAGGTGGAGGCACCAGAACCGGGGGAGGATGTGGGCGTGATGGAGGAGGAACAGGACATCATGGATCCAGCCCATGACTATGACTTTGAGGCGGAGCTTCAAAAGTGTCAACGTGGAGTTCCTCTGAAGCACGTGACCTGCATGGAGGTGCTGGAATCCCGGGCCAAGGCTGAGGTGATTGTCGGCTTGCAGAAGTTGATCACCAAGTATAAGGCCATGGGGGTGGCGGTGAACCGCTTGCACACCGACAGGGCGAAGGAGCTCATCAGCAAACAGGTGGAGGCATGGTGCAGTCGATGGGGGATTGTACAAACGTCCACTGGAGGAGATGACCCTGCTGCCAACGGCCATGTAGAGGCGGAGGTGAACCAAGTCAAAAGGCGCGCGAGGCTACTACTGGCGCAACATGAATGTGCAGGTCAACTCTGGCCATCGGCGATGAGGTACGCGGTGGAGGAGAGGCGAAGACGCCAGTTGGAGGAGCTGGGAGTTCCCACATTGCCTATG